TCGGGCACGCCGCTGCAGGACGAGGGGCACACGCATTTGGCCGACTGGCCGTCGGCGGAGCGGACGCACGTGCTGCCGAAGCTGCAGGTCACCTCCGTGCAGGGGTCCTTGGAGCCTGCGAGGAAGAGGAGGGGGCACGGCACAGGCGTGAGCAGAGGGGTCCGTGCTGACCTTCTCCCACTCGGGATAAATGACACACCACGGTATCTAAACAGCCTCAGTCCTTCCGAGCGCCCAGAAACGCACGTGATGGCAATGGATGTCCTTCCAGCACCGCGTACCCGAGCAGCAAGCTCATCCACCCCGACGTCCGTGGAGGCAGGCAGGATGCTGAGGCTGTAGGATCAGCCCTGAACCCACGGCACGTGAGGAAAGGAGCTCACCCTCCCCTCACCTGGCACTTCAGGCAGAGCCTCTCCTTTCTAAACCTCTCAGAGCCTCACTGCTGTGAGCTCCCTTCCTTGAACACGCACTCCGAGAGCCTCTTGCTTCAGCAAACGAGCAAAACAAGGGTCCTTAAGACACCTCCTGCAAACCGTAATTAGAGGAAGAGCTCAAGGAGCAATTTCCTCACTGGCAGGGAAAGGCTAAAATTTGCCATCTTTTTTTCACCTTATTTTCTTTCCCCCCTCTATCTGTCACTTTTTTTACGATGATTATTTTAAATAAATCACTCGGCGCACTCTCCCCTCTGACGAGAGCCCCAGCAGGAGTGCCGGGTGCAGATTTATTGCAAGCCAGAGCGCCGCGTGAGAGAAAGGTCAAGTTAATTTACTCTGAGATGAGGAGACTGAGGTCTCATTTACACAGCTCCTCGCTCACAGCTGGTGAATGCCAGGCTGGGGAAGGGCTTTCAGCAGCCCACCCAGCCTGTGCATATGCCTGGTGCCTCCAGCTCCAACTTGTAGCCCTGGCAGATGTGACCCATGTGGTGCAGCCGCAGAGCTGCCTGAGACCTTGAATGGCCTTTGGCCATCGGTTTGCCCACTTATTAAGCTCTCCTGATCAGCAGAACTGGTGATTCTCTCGGTGTCCCTTCCCATCAGAGCTGTCCCCATCCCCCAGGACATCACCAGCACCCCAGTAACAACAGGAGATTGAGTCAAGCCTCCTTGGCTTCACATTGTCACCTCCCTTGCACTCACCACACGGTCCCTTGCTGATGACTTTGATCCGCCTCTGCTGGTTGCACTGGGCCTTCTCCAGCTCACACTCATTGCTGTAGGTGGAATAGTCAGAGCCGCAGACAGGAGCCACCACGACAGGGCAAGCTGTCTTCTTGCAGACGCAGGAGGCCTGGGAGGGGTCGGTGGAGCTCCTCTCGCACACCGCCCCGAACCCGCACAGCATCCCTCGACACGCTGCGGGCACAGACACGGACACATGGATGAGCTGCAGCTACTTCTCTACGAACAGGAGGGTTGCAGTCGGGTGCCCAGGTCCAAGCGCCCACCTGTGCCTCCCCCCTCTCTCCTGGCAGAACTTTCCACACCACCCAGGCTCGGGGAGGGGCTGTAGCCCTCCGGGGGACCAGGACAGTGAGGACAGTGCCAGCAAGAAGAGGATGCTCTAAGCACAGCAAGGTCCTAGGGTGAGGATGTCATCATCCACGTAGATGTGGTGCTTGGTCTGGTCCAGGGGTCTAGTGGTGGACCCAGCAGTGCTGGGTTAATGGTTGGACTCGATGATCTTTAAGGTCTTTTCCAACCTACGATCTCGTCACGCTGCCTCTCCCTGTCTGCCAGGAACCAGGCGGTTAAGTGACGTCCTTCTGCAGGGTGACCAAAGATGCACTTGAGGTATAGGGGGGCTGGAGTTCAGCATGGTCCAAAAGCAGCTAACAAACCCGTGGGCAGCCCCCTTGCCTCCTCTGTGCCCCTTCTGCTTGTTGCCAGCATGAACTGGAGAGAGAAAGGTCTGTCACCAGCTCTGCATCACAGCGGGGAGGTGCCTCCGACCCCACCACAGACACGGAGGAGCATCCCCAGGAGTCCAGAAAGCACTCACGCTGCCCACAGCCCCTCTGCTCAAGCCTTTGTGAGCCCTCCACAACACAGCGTGCTTCCTGCTAACGAGCAAGAGAAAGGAAAGCCGAGGAAGCGAGAAGAAAACGTCCTCACCTGTCCCAGCGCGGGACAGATCGCCCCACACGCACACGCGGCTTTTGTGAGCCCTCCACAACACAGCGTGCTTCCTGCTAACGAGCAAGAGAAAGGAAAGCCGAGGAAGCGAGAAGAAAACGTCCTCACCTGTCCCAGCGCGGGACAGATCGCCCCACACGTCAATGGCTGGTGTCTCTCTAAAGGAGATGTACTAATCTCTTTATCGCATCCACTAATCAGAGCAGCCAGCACGGACCAGCGCAGCATCGGAATTGCTAATGTGGTAGGAAATGTAATTCTTCGGGTGGGGGGAAGAAGGGAGGGAGAGGACGGGCGTCTCCAGACTCCGCGCTCTGCAGGTGAGGCAGCGAGAGCGAGAGATCCTCGGTCCCCGCGCCGGCACCCACGCACCGCGGGCACCTCCCGCCGCCCCTGGGAACACCTCAGCACCCGCGCTCTCCTACGCACCCGTTAGAAACGGGGACTGACCTACATAATGAGAGAAAGAGAAATCATAAAAGGCAAAATAAAACGCTCGACAGCGGCTCATTTACACTTCAATTCCCGGGCGTTTGCCTTTGACTGCCTTGAGATTTTGAGCTTATACGCACAGCAACAATGCGCCACTAAGAGACTAATATCATCAAATAAAGAAGAAATCTTTTTCTCTCCTGTCCAACATCTAAAAGCAATTCATCATTTTTATGAAGTGCTCTGGATACTCTCTCCTGCTCTTTCCATCGCTGCTCTTCCTCTCTCTCTCCCCCCTCTTTTTGTTTTTTTTAAATGCAGGTGAGCCTGTTGAGGTCTGAGATTGGAAAGTGCAGTGGAACTGTGCAAGTGAGGGATGTGAAATGCAGGACAAGCGGGGATTCATCCCGCCCCTAGGCACAGGTCTGTGGAAGAGACGTGTAACCGTGTAGTACGTAATCAGCTGCCAGTCGCAGGGGAGGCGGAGAGGGAGCTGTCTCAGAGATCAGACCTACCGAAGGGAAGGGAGCTGGAGTGTGCAGCAGATGGGGGATGCAGAGCCAGCTTGGAACTGAGTTCAGTCAGGTGCCTGCTCAAAGGCGACAGGGCAAGAGATGCCTGTCTGAAGGCACTTGCCTTCAGGACATGCCAGGCCAGGCTCAGCAGCATGCTTGCAGACAGGGAAACCAAGGTGGGAGATGCATCCAGGATTTCAAAGTAGGGTGTCAGGGACACAGCTCCTTCCATTCTTGAGCTCTTCTGTCCTTGTCTTTCGCCTTAGAGTACGAGAGACGAGAATCCTACATCCCAAGCGAAGAGCTGACCCAGGTCTGGCACCAGCCAAACCGAGGAAGCTTTCAGTGGGACCCAATGCAGGGCAGCACCAAGCACTTCAAAAAACTCCGTCCTGAGATATGACAAAGGGACCAGCCTTGCCTTCACACTCCTGAGCTCGAGCCCAGAGAGGGCAGCAGCCAGGGGAGCAGAGATGGTGCCCATCAGCATGCTGAGGCAATCCTCTACCTGCCCACCCAACCCGGACAAGCACCAGAGAGCGAGGGCAGGCAGAGGGACCAGGGCTCCGCCTGCCTGCTGCCCCTCTTGTGACACCTGTACAACACCACCAGGACAGCAACCACGCATTTTCCCACCAGCGTGCCTTCTGCATCACCCAACAGACACACCAAGGTAGGGCTTGCCTGAGACCAAGCGCAGAGCCTGCCTTACCCATGGCAACGCTGCGGCCGCAGGCTTCTGAGCTCTGCTGGACACGGGAAGGCAGTGGTGAACCAGAATCTGTGAGGGGTTGCAACAGACGGAGCCCTGGCTCGGGACGCTGGAGGCTGCAGCCTCTTGTCCCTGGTTCTCCAGTCGCAGAGGGGAGGAGGGATCTCTCAGCACTTGTTCAAGACCACACTTCAAAACCATCTACAAAGCACACGGCAAGGCTGTGCAGCAAGGTCAGAGAGCAGGCAGGATCTGAAGGGAAGCGCGGCTCTGGTTAAATCATCCTAGAGCTGCAGAGCGAGGCGCAGCAAGGCGTTTGGCAAACAATGAGAGCAGCACTTGTCTGGAGCAGAAAAAAGCTACAGCTAGGAGCTGACCTTTCCCAAACCTCCCGAGACGTCGAAGACGAGGGAGAGAAACAGCTAAAGTGAGGTATCTATACAACACTCGAGCAAGCTGTACGGAACAAAAGGGAGGGCTTGGGCTTATTGTAACCACGCTGAATACCAGCCAAGCCTCTCCATGTCTCTTAGCAGCACTGGAGCAGACACAGGATAATAAATAACAATAACAACAACAACAATCATATTTAAAAAGTGCACCTCCTGGAGAGGAGGGGAAAAGCAAAAAGTGCTGCGACAAATAATTCACGGTCCCATGCTTCCCGCCGCAGCGTGACTCCACGGGCAGACAGAGCAGCCTCCTCTCCCTCGGCAGCCCCAGGCTGCGCCTGCAAAAGCAAGAAAAGCTTTTAGAAGAGATCAAGGCTGGGGAAAGACCCCAACAGGGTTCAGAGCTTCATCCCCAGCTCAGATACGTGATGCTCTGAGGCTCTACCATGTGTCCTGCAGCGACCGCCTGGTTCAGGGTAACGAGGGTGCTAATGAGGGTTTCCTGTCCTTTGGCTAATTGAGGAAGGTGAGAGGTCCCCAAGAGATGAGCAGACAGGGGGAGAGAACTTGGGTGCCTCTATGGCATCTGTTGAGCACACAACTGCCTGCAGGACAGATCCCACCCAGCCTGGGGGTCACAGAAAATGCTGGGGCGAGAGGGGATGGCTCTTCCCAAAAGGCACCAGGACGGGGGCATCAGCCCAGCAGAGTGACCCAACAGAAGAAATCACCTATGGAAACGCCTTCTCTGGCCTGCCAGCGCTTCTGTGAACCAATGTAAAGGAAAAGCCAGAGTGAGATCCTGCATCAACAAACCACAAGCGAAGAAAAAGGGAAAGGAGAGAGAGATGACAAGCTGAGAAGAGCCTCTGGGAGCCTATCTATGCTGGCAACTGAAACCGGGGCGGGAAGAGCGAGCATCAGGGCTGCAGAGCACTTTGTACTGTGGTCCAGCCCCAGAGCTGCTAGCACTCACCAGAACTGAGCTGCCCCTGCAGAAAGAACGACTACCCACTGCACCAGGTGCACCCACACTGGTGCAGATCCAAGCCTCCCCCCCCCCCCCTGACGCTTCCTCAGGCAGCCCCTAATTAGCACCTGGGATGCTTCATTACCAGGGAAGCCCCGTGCCAAGGTTCAGCGTCTCCGCGAGCGAGCTGTGCGGGTGCAGGTGGCTGGTGCTCCATGAGACGCTGCCAGGGCAGATGGCACCAGCTCCACCTCCTCGTGTCCAACAGTGCCTGCAAATGCCCAGGACGGCTGGAAGGACAGCTGAGAATAGGACGGCTGTGGCCAGAGCTGCAGAGATTATTCTGCCAGGTGACAATATATGCATGCAAGGGGCTTGTTCTGTGCCTCAGCAAGCCCCTCCTCTGTGCCCTCCTTCAGTCCCCTGCATCCTAAAATATTGCAGCAGACAAAGCTTCGAGTTGCACGCTGAGCTCCCCAGCCTGCAGCGAGCATCACTCCCTCTTCTCCCAGCTGCCAGTTCTGGCCACGCAGCCTTCTGCACCAAATACTTCAGGTAAAGCTCTTGGGCCACCTTCTAATTCCATCTCAGCCTTTTTCCAAGCCTCCAGGACCAGAACAGCGAGGGATATGGCAGTCAGCTGCAGGCAGAGAGAGTGGAGAGAAACTTCTACTTCCAGCTTCAGAGCCTCCAGCTTCAGCTCCCCATCCAGTTCTGCGCCTTGGTTCTCCCATTTATGAAAAAACGCAGATAATAATAATCACCAGCCCCCCGATGTCAGTAGGTAAGTAGCTCAATATAAGTAGTAGGGATTAATAACAAGCTGGCTTCGTCAAGTGCTTTGAGATCTTGAGGTGAAGAGCTCTATCTAGTAAGCCCCAAGCATTCATATTAAAATGTTTCTCCAGCTTAATAACAATAATCATAACTGTAATGTCAGAATGGCTCTTTCCCACTGCACAGAAAAGAAAAAAATGCTACCTGAGCAGCTTGCTGACTGCTTATTGCACCCTGCCAGACCCTCCGCAGAGCCTGCCCGCCCCGCGCAGCCGCGACACCACGAGCAGCACCTGAGCAAGGCTCTGACCCGCACACGGTTTCTCCCTCCCAGCACCAGAGCTTTTGGAATTTTGCCAAGGGAAGAGGAGAAGGACGGCTCTCCGAACACCCACAGAGGAGGGTGACGCTGGGAAAAGGCA